ACATTCTTTCTTGATTCCTATTTGTTTTTTTATTAGTGAAACATCTTTTCATTTGATATGAAAGTTTTGCTGTTCTCAATATCCTGTTTTTGGTTTGTTAGATGCTATGCTCGTCTTCACCCAAGGGCTGTGAACTGCCGCAAGAAAAAGTGTGGCCACAGTAATCAGGTCAGTCTATGTTAATTATACCACTTGTCATGTTTATTCCATGATTTTGAGCAGTTTTTGAACATGGTCCTTTTCTTTATTCCAATATGTTGAAAACGTTTTGAACATTTCGTTCTTGCAGTTGAGGCCAAAGAAGAAGATCAAGTAAATCTTGGTTGATGTTGTCGGTCTCTTGTTCGTTGTGGATTTGGGACTGGACTGGTTTGTTGATTTATATACCTGTCGTTAATTGTCTTTGGTTTGGTTTTATTAATGTGACATGTTTTGGTGGATATTTTTGTAGTGGTCAGTTATATTGCTATGATGACGACATTAAATTATGCTTCCTTTTCACATCCATATTCGATTGCATTCTTTTAGTCGATTTTACAATTGCATATTCTCTTGTTCACGTTACTATTAACAAATTATAGCCTTCAACTTAAAACAGAAGGGAAGATTATAATAATAAAATTTATAAGTGTTTTATAATCCAACACTTCAAACAAATACATAGCGATTGCAGCATCCTATAAGTTTCATTAATGCCTCTTTTATCTTGTTGAAAGCCGGAGTAGATATCTAGTTCAGTATAACGAACTGTGCTCGGCAATGATGTAGCAATGTAAACACTTTCTAATTTTCTGCTTATTCGATCATTGGATTATGCGTACTACATATTTTGATTTACTTTTTTCAGTGTTGCTCTTCGTGGTAAATTAACTGTTTAGTTATTGTATACATTTAAATAATTCAGCTTGGTATAGTCTTAAATTTAGTTTGTTTATTGAGTTATTTATGTTTGATCATGATTTTCTCCGTTGAAAGCTATTTGATAATCAAATATGAAATTTTTGTGATCAATCGGTAGTACAATAATTCATGGATGAGTTTAATTGTCTTATTAAGGTTTAAGCGATCAACTAATCGCTGATGAAAGATTGGAATATTTAGTAAAGGGAAATGTAAAGAGTCCTTCTTTTATAATTGTGTAATTGTATTTTATGTCGTGATAATTTGAAAGTTTTATTGAGTGATTTTGTTAGTTATATTTTTATTGTTAGCTGAACATCCTATTTTATTCTGTAGTCGTATTTTTCATCTTTTACAATCATTTTATAAAGGACCCTCTTTCACTAGTAATGCGTATGGGCTCTGCCAAAATTTTTTATGTTTGAATTTTTTACAATACCAGTATATATATATATATAACCTCTTTATAGTAGATCGGTCTATTAAAATGTCATGAGGAACTAAAATGAAATATAAGATTTGGAACAATTTTCAAATAGAATTGTCAAATTATTTGGAATTATGAAGTTGTCGATGCTAGTTTTACGTGTTTTCTAGTTATTTAAGAATAAATTATATTTTAAAATTTTTAATTTATTTAAATATCACTTTCTTTTCAAAATGTAAATTTATGTATATTTTTATAATGTGACAATTTTATTATTGTTACACCTAAGACGATAGAAATAAAAAATATATATTAAAAGGAACTAAATATATATTTAGCAATTTTCCTATAAATATCTAAAATTAAATAAGATAATTTTTACAAGTTATTATTTTTATACACTTCATGATAAGAATTAAAACTAATGATGTATTAATTACAAGGACAGAAAAAAAAAAAAAGAAATCCCAGTAACCAAAAGTCAAATAAAAAATTTATTCACCAAAAAGAAAAGACCGACTCATTTTAGGAAAAAATATTTAAACATTTTTTTATATCAATGATATTTTCACACACTCTTCTCTTCTTTATTTATTTATTTTTATATAATTTTAGGTTATTGTACGTCAAATGTTAGAAATTGAATACATGTAACAGATAGATATGAATAATAATACCTTAGGTCCAATCTGTACTTTTGAACTAGGGTAAAAACTATATTCTTTTGAATGTGAGGATATTACTTATTAGTACAAGTTATTTTATACCCAGATAATCAAACTCCAATGTCATTTAATACACATAACTATAGTGGTAGTACAATTTGGAACTCTTAATCTACTAAAGTAAAATAACATAAAAGCCTAAAACAGTATCTTCTGATCACATTTTTCTAAACATGATGCTCTTCGTTCTTCTCTGTGTGATAAAAAAATGTGAAGAAGATTTTGTTTCTACTTTTTCTTTTCGCTTACAATGTATGTGATAAGGTATATATTATCTTCTGCATACTAATTGATTTCTAGCTAATCATTTTATTTGAGCAGATTTCATGTCCCATCCTTTTAGCTTTTCCATGGTGATTGGTTCAGTGCCATTGTTGAACACAAAAAGATGAGCTTGTTTTAACACTGCGAGCTGTGGATAAACTCGAGACAATATGACTGTCTTTCCTCCTGCTCCAAAACTTTCCACTACCGAGTGATCAATCTGTCATTTAGTTAACACAATAAAAAACATTAATCAGTTCTAATAAATGTCACATAAAAAACCAAATAGAGTAATTGTTACATATTTGCACGTACCAAACTCCTAAGAGAAATTTTCTTATCCTTTGTGAAATCCAAGTCCACAAAACCACCAAATGTCGGTTTATACAAATCACCCTTTAAAGACGATCTGTTCAAAATAACAAATTAGTTTTTAAATCGACAGAAAATTAATGTTCTTATCCCAAATTTAATCACACTAACCTTCTTGCATCAGAGCACATGAGAATGACATGCTTCTTTTTATCTTTGAAAATTCTGAAAAACACAGGAGTAAACTCCTCCAGCTTTTCAGAAGCCAAAGTCAAAAGCCCAAATGGTCCAACACCACCTTCCACATTTGAACCCTTATTGGCACAAGCTTCCTGTGCATCAACCCACTTGTCATCATATTTCTCTGCCTTCTCCAAATTTGGAATTGAAAATTCAACCTCCAGATCTGCCTGCAATCATATACAATACACTTTTATCTTCGTTTGTAATTAATTCAACATGAAGTTTTTTAATTCAACATGTTTAGACCTATTAAACATGTTACCTGTGCAGCAGTGATTCCTTTTACTTCAACTTTCTCTCCCTTCCCAAGCTTCTGATTTTTCATGTTAACTTCTTTTCCTCTAAGATTATTCAATTCTTCAACTGGCCACAGTAACAATTGCCTCTGATTTGGATCCAGCCACACCGTTCGTGGAATCGCCTGATTATTTCAACACACATTCAAATGCATATTGAAATACATACAAAAAAAACCTATGCAAAATGCAAACAAAACACTGAAATCAAAACAACGTTAATCTCCTGAAAAGTAACTTAAATGCAGTACCTGAATCCCTGCCCATCCTTTACGAACATCGTCTTCTTTGGTATCAGACTCGTTTGCCCAACCCCATATCACTCTTCTGTTCTTGCTAGGATCAAAAAAGGACTTGGAAGCATAAAAATTACCATAATCATACCGTAATCCACCCCAACCATCTTCTGATGTTTTGTCAGGAACATACCTATCCTTATCCCTACGATATGTTCCCACAGTGTAGTACTCATACCTAGTCAAATCAAGACTATTTTTCAGCACTTGTTTCGTTTGATTTCCCTCCGCCGACGCGTCCAACCCCAAATTGCTTTTAAGCGAAACGGGGTAAAAATCGGGGCACTCCCACATACCCGTGTCTTTCCTCGAATGGAGCGGGTGTCTGGACCGAACCCATTTCTTAAAGTCTTTGCTTCTGTACATATAAGCCACTCCTCTAGCCTTCCTTCTGCTACCCACCACTATTCTCCAGTGTCCATCTTTGCTCCACCAAGCCGTTGTCGGGTCCCTAAACGCACTACCGTTCACAGGGTTGTCGGCGACCACAAACGGGTTGGAACCATCGGGTTTTACCCATTTCCGGAGGTACGGGTCCTTGAGGTCTTCGGGTATTGCGTAACACTGGACTTGAGTTTGTTTCTCGTCTACGACTCCAGTGTACTGGATTACGGGTCCAATACCTGGGACTATTGTCGCCGAACCCGACCAACACCCATATTTGTCGAAAGACTTGGATGGGTACAGCGCGTGTTCAACAGCTTCCCAGTTTATCAGATCCTTCGATACTGAGTGTGCCCACACTATGTTCCCCCACACCGAACCGTTCGGATTGTATTGATAGAATAAATGGTAGAATCCGTTGAAGTACATGGGTCCTGTTTTGCTCGCAAAATCACAAATGCTGTTCCTCAAAAATATTATAACAAAATGATGATTATGTTTTGCCTTACCATTTGGATCTACATGCCATGGTTGCGTCCGTTCCAGCCGTTGTTGCGGAACCATCAAAACAAAGCAAGTTAAATAGTGAGGAAACTCAAGAAATTTTCGGTGGCAGAAATTGGGTATCACTTACTTCTTCCATGAGTTTCTATGTTTATGATATCCATGCAGTGATCAACAAGTTCTGGTGTTGAACGATTAACAATTAAAATTTTCAATTTTTGTTAAAGGTTTACTTTTAATTTATACATTAGGTAATTTTAATTTATAAAAATATTAATTTAACTTTTTTTTGTTTTTTCATCCACACCATATAATTTTAAAAATTCTATATGAAAATAGACAAAATGTACAAAGATTATGCATTGTGTTCGTAAGACATGACTTCACTGGTGAAGAAATGTCGGATAACCTGACTTCATGTCTCGTTTTGAAATTAGATAATATTTAATTATTGTATTTTTAATTTAGGTAGATTTTAAATTTAATTTAACTTTATAAAATTGTAAGTATACTTATATATTTTAAATTAGTTTTATTTATAAATGTTAAACTTTGCACAAGTACAATACAATGTTCGTGAAAAAATCATGTCATGTAAATACAATTTATTAATAGACATAATTTTTTAAAATTTCAAAATTTTCTTTTATTTTATTTTAGAAGTGGTAGATCAGGTCGTTAAAACTTTAGCAAAGTAGCTTTATAACCCCTCTTCGTCTATCCAATAGAATAGTTTCGCATGCATAATTTTTAACCATTAGAAAACCATGCAAAAAGGCACACGTTTAGCCTTTACGAACCAAAAATACCTTTACACCTAACTGTATCAAAAACCACTTAATGCAATAGAAACGATTATTTAAGCTTCAAAAGGATGTTCCAAAACCATTCACAACAAAGACACCCTCAGATTATAACAACCTAATGGCGATGATCAAGAGTATAGAGATAAAAGGCAAGTAAACACGTTGTTAGATCCTATCTATGATGTACTGTTTTTTCTTCAGTTGTTTAGATGCTAATAGAAACACGCTGCCATATAATATTGAATAAACTAAAACATCTTCTATGCAGAAATATATTTATAGAAGATTTTCTTCAATGCATATTTTTTCTTATATATTATGAAAGCAGCTGTGCATT